GTATTGGTCTGTGCTTGACAACGAGTTCCAATTTAATTCAGATATTCTATTGGGAAGACGGAAAGCAGGCTGAGACAGAAAAGAAAGCTCTGGTAGAGGCAACAGCCAATGAAATCTCTCTGCAAGATTTAAAGATGTACACTGTGTACAATATCCGTGTATTAGCTTATAACCCTGCTGGAGACGGACCCAACAGCACCATTGCCTCGGCTAGAACTAATGCAGGCAGTAAGTAGTACTAATCAAAGAGTCCATCTGGGTATTGGCATTGGGAATGTTCCTTTGCAAGTTTTTCTTTCCCTAACTGAAATCTAGAGTAAATGATTTGAAGCATTTAAATTTACAGTTCCACAAACCAATTATAGAGGATCTAATGAACTTCAGGAGTGAACTTTATTACACATTTTTGGGAAATAGATTTGCTGTCATTTATATTGTGTTTACTTGTGTTTGTTACAGTTCCTGGGAAACCTGGAGAGCTGTCATTTCATAACATTTCCCTGGATTCCCTCAATGTGACCTGGACTCCGCCAGAAGAACCCAATGGAGTGATTGTTAACTATGAGGTTGTTTACATAGGTGTGTGACAACTGACATGTTAGAAAATAAAAAGAGAAATTTCATGCACAATAAAACCATTTTGTCCCTTTTTACTCTGATATGACAAGGGTGAAAACTGAAGATTTTCTTTCATTACAAAGATTGAATAAATTGTAAAGTTTGATTCATAGAATGCTTTTCCAATTATGTATTCAGGTGCAAGTAAAACTGTCCAAGTAGAGACAAATAGCAGAACAACATATTACTTTGCCAGAGACTTGGAGGAAGGTGTCACATATAACTTCAGTGTAAAAGCCAAGACTGATTTGGGTTATGGCCCATCTAGTACCAAGGCTATCACCACAGGCAGTCAGCAAGGTGAATTAGATAATCAAGTTCAACATTTTGGTACATACATGCAGTTGATTAGATCTTATGAGTTGGAATTTCTCTCTTGGCTGTCAAGATTGGATGCTTAATAGTGATAAGAAAAATGTCTTTTCTATACAGAATAAATGAAAGATATAGTCAATAGTTATATTTTATTTTGTTGAATTGACTGCAGGTTCCCCTGCTGCACCTATAGACTTGGAATTGGACTATGCATCTACATCTGTGACTTTAAAATGGACAAATGGGGCTGAAGGGGCATCAGCCATTAAAGGCTATATTATCCAGTCCAAGGCTTCTACAGGTGAGATAGTCGAGTTGCTTATATATGAAGAGCATTGCATGGATGATATTAGATGGTCAGCCTTTGAAATTGTATTTATATCAAAGTTTTTATTTTGATCCCTCCATGCTGAAGAATAGAAGGGATATGTGTGTGTGTGTGTGTGTGTGTGTGTGTGTTTCTGCGTAAAGAAAACTTCAGTGGTATCTGTTTGCTTTTAGAATGGTCATGGAGAACTATTTTGAGGAAGAACTCTGCAGGCTCTGTGGCTGTAATCCCATTTGACAACCTCAGCCCTAACAACATCTACCAGTTCCGTGTGATTGCTGTGAACGACCATGGTATCAGTGACCCTAGTTTGCCGTCCCAGCCTCTCCAGACCCCAGCTCTCAGCCCTGCCTCTGCAGCTGTGGAAAAGATCTATGAGCAGTGGTGGTTCTTGGTGATTGTTGCCCTTTGTGGACTCATCCTTATCATCATTGTGGTCTCTTTACTCTGCTGTACTGCTAAGAGAAATAAAGGTACGTGTATCTGTGAGAGTTTGAAAGAAAAGAAATGGGACAAAGTAATAGTTTCCCTTGTTTTATTGTAATGATAGGGGCCTTGATAATAACTTAAGAGTTACAGTTGTCTGGAAAATCAGAGATGCCAAGATGAACACTATTGTTAAAGAATTGTATCTATTATCAGAAATATAGCATTTGTTGTTAGTTAAGAAATTTATGTGTGAAGCTTGAATAATTGACTTACAATAAGTCACTTGCTGAGAAAGTACTGAATAGTGTTTAGTGTAGAGACACTTAATGGCAGCAGGGGTTTATAGAAGTTTTAATCTCGTTGTAAGTTGGTTTTTCAGTTTTGCATGTATTTTTGTTTCTAGAGCCTCTCCCAGCAAATATGAAGGTCATGACCCCAGTGACTATGCCTCCATCAGAAGAGGCACACAGTGTAGTGGATGATGATGGAGGATTCACATCATTTGAAATGCGGGAATCAATCAGGAGAAGCAAGAGGAGTGTGGCTAATGGAAAGAAAAATAATTATATCAGGTAAGAATTCAAAAGATGGAATTAGGTTGAGGATACTATTCTTATTTGTGTGAAATTTCAATAGTTTTTCAGGTTGTGCCTTGTTTGAGGGTTTTTGTGTTAGTTATCCTCAGATTTACATTAATGGATTTTAGGACTAAGGTAAAAGTTGTATTGGAAAACCAGTCTGATGAGATTGAAATAATTGAATTTTTTTAATTAATAGTTTCTGTAGATATAATATTGAACATGATGACAAGATATTATTCTTAAAATGAGATCTGTTGTTTAGCATGTTATGAGCAACATTTGAAATAAGGGAAATTGTTAGTACAAAATAATTGTATATAGAAAATGCATAGGTGCACCGAATTCTCATCTCTGAGTAAAAGTCAAGTGTAAATCAGTAAAAAAATTTTTTGGAGAACATTTGTGTGAAGTTGATATCTATATTTCAGTTCTACTGCTGCCATAAGGGATGTTGCAGAATCCATTGCAGAGCAACTGTTAGTGACTAAAAGCATCTCCCAATATATATGCATGTACATATGTATATGATAAATGATTTTTACCACAGATTGCGTTTTAGAGAATGATCATTTATAAAGAATGTGATGGAAATATTTCTCCATTAATCTGATAATGAGATTTCCTTCATTCTTCAACATATATCCTTCCACTATTTATATACATGTGTTATGGGGGCCACTAGGTTATTTATTTATATGTTTTATTTTATTTCAAGGGCTCTCTCAGTTTTTATGTCGAGTTTTTATGTTTGGTTCCAACTTCTCCAGTATGATCTTACTTTCAGTTTCAGCATGGTGACAACATATGTAACTTGATTCAGTAGCTTTTGAAAGTAATACGATGACTATAAGCAAAAGAATTTTAATTCACTACTTTGACATTAAATGTTAACAAAGAGCATGCAGAAAGGGGTCAAACATCTAGTATCAAATCTGGTAAATGATGAAGAATGGTTATCTTTGCATACAATCAGTGCCAGCAGTTATATAGTTTTCTTTTTTATGTACAGACACAGATGTGTCTGTACATATAGCCATCATCTGCGTCTGTCGCCGTCGTCGCTGTCGTCGCCGTCGTCGCCGTCGTCGCCGTCGCCGTCGCCGTGCACTTTTACCGATAACACAANATCTTATTGCTGGGGTGGAATGAGGCCGTCTTCTGGGTCTTTCAGATGACAGTCAGATTTTAAAGTTTACATTGACTGGTATCAATTTTTTTTCTGTTGGAAAACCATCAAAAGTGGAGGATGGATCAACAAAGATACTTTGGAATACTGTCAGAAAATATCTCTGGATCTGCTCCTGTTATTGACCATGTTACCTGTTGTGCATGATTAAAATTCAGTATTGTTTGACAGTGCTATTATAAGCATTATTTATTATTGCATCAAAATTGACAAAATGACCCATTTTGCATCTTTATTTTCTGTTTTTTGTCTGTACATTTGACAGCTTTGCTGCCTTGTTTTAATAAAGGAATGAGTAGTTGTCTCTTTTCTGTTCTTACTTATTTGTCCTCTATTATTGTACCAGCTCAACCTGTCAATTTGAAATGTCCAATTCAAATAAATATTTTGTGAAATTTTAAGCAGAGCACTGACAGAGAGGTGCAAGGGTCCACAGGTTTTGAAGTTTTTGGTTGTGGCAGTAAGATAGCAGGTTTATTTATATGGGTTGTTATAAGCAGATGTGTGGAGATTCTGATCTAGTTACAGGGGCTGATGGAAGCCATCTTCTGGGTCTTCTGGAAGATGGTCAGAAAATTTTTAATTTACATTGACAGTCATCTAATTTTATTCTGTCGGAAGACGGTCACAAATGGAGGGTGGATCAAATTTGGAAGGCTGTCAGGAAATATCTAGGGATCCACCCCTTAGTTATTCTCCCCTCTAACCTGCTTTTAAAAATCACTAACAATTTCTTTTCGAATAGAGTTTAGTGGAGAGACACATGATGGCAGCAGGGGTTTACATAAGTTTTAGTCTCATTGTAAGTTGGTTTTCAGTAGTGCATGGAAAAAAAAAAGACCAGGAAATATTTGAGATCATTGTAAGCTTTTTATCTTTTTCTTTTTATGCCAAGTGGTGTGGATAATGAGTATTCTTGCATTCATTTCTGTTGTGCAGCATTTACTTTGTAGTATAAGGGGACAACTGAGGAATCAGACTGTTTGACACATGTTCCACTGTAATGAAAATGAGACAGATTACAGCTGAAGTGAATTATGAAAGCAGCTTGGTGTTTAAAAGAATTTCTTTCTGCATGGGAATCTGTTATTGAAAATGCTAGTTTAGATTATATTTCAAGTCTTTGTTTAAAAGAGATAGATGAACAAGGTGAGGCAAAATGGGCATGCATGGATGTAACTTTAGAGAACTATTGTTTTAAGCTGCATGCTTTGAAAATGCTAAGTAAATCAGAAGATGCCTTATGAATGGAAGTGGGTTCATGGTTCATCGAAATAATTATATATAATATGTATACAGTTAGAGCTACAAATGTCAAGTAGTAGCAGTGAGTCAAGTGACCAGAGGGAATATTGGCAAAGTCGCCCTGGACCCAGTACATCCAAAATACATTTGGTCTGAGTGACCAGAGTGAGTGAATGCATGACAGTTATTAAAAGAATATGTGCCTTTATAGTTTGGGACATATGGCTAGGAAACAATCATAATGGAGAAAGTACTTTTTTTATGGGAACTTTTGGATTTTTCTTCATTGGTTTATATTGGAACAGGACTTTTTTTTAAATATAGAACAAGATATAGCATATTTGTATTAAAACAAAAGACATTTACAAGTATATATTTTTCATTTTTGTACATTTTCAGGAAATTTTGGAATGACAAAGTTTTATTTGGTTTATATATTATATATGTTAGAAAAGATTTTATTTAATCTAGATATTTTGGTGGTAATGATTACAAAGGGTTGTTTTTGTTTTCATTTTATGACCAGAGGTTACTTGTGATTATTTCAATCAAGTAAAAATAATATATTATTTAATTATTCTATTATACAACTTTTTATATTAATATTAACCTAATACTTAAATAATTAATCCTTATTAGACAGACAAATTTCATCTAGATATTATGCGTGTCTTCAGTATTTCTGAGCTTTCCTACCTCTCATCCAGGTTTAAATAAAACATAAAAGACCAATGATTTCAAGAATATCAGGTTCATAACCAGTGTTGTTTATCTTTGTCATTTTTGCAAAATAAAACCCACAAAATTACATAATGTCATTTTTCTCTCCAGGAGAGTGACAGTGAGCCACCTAGTGAGAAGGGAAGCCAGGCGGCGGCCCCTCAGCCACACCAGTCCTCCAGTTTCATGACAGCTAATCCTTATGTCAATGATCCTGTTAGACAGTCATGGAAGAGACAGAAATCCAACAGTAAAGCCTACAGTTACACAGACAGTGAACAAGAAAGTAGCCATTATGCAATGAGTCTAAATGGAGGTCATATAATTATGAACAATATGGCAGGTTCTCGGGCACCATTACCTGGCTTCTCATCATTTGTATAGTATTGGCTGCATTCTGGCACAAAAAAGGCTGGTCCTATTTTGATAAAGTATTCCTAAAGTGCCATGGGTTTCTGAACAAATTTTTAATGAAATAATTAACAAAACTTTGCACAATGATCTCAAGGACTTGTAGTCATGAAGGATCTGTCACAGATGAAGCTGGATTCATGTCTACATCAAGCAGTAATATCAATGTATTTTGAAAAAGGCATATATTTATATAAATTTATGTAAGATGTTTTATTTTCCATTTCATGTTCATACTGCAAACTACATGCAGTAGCACAGAGGTGGTAAATACAAAGTTGACACAGTCATGTTTTTCATTCAAACTGTACAGATATGAACATTACATATCTTATTTTAAAATCAACATATGTAGTATAGAGGTAGTATTTTGAGTCTGACTGTACACTACTTATGTGATAAAAGAAGACAACTCAGCAAGTAAACTTAGACAATATAGCTTAACTGAAATGTAAGAAATGGGGGGAGAGGCTACATAGCATTGCCATCAAAGTAACTGTTCTATTAGAATTGAAAAGAACTGTGATTGTTTTAAAAAGCACACATCAAAATAACTAGAGATCTATGCAAAGAAGTGATACATCATGAGAGGTATCATTGTTGAGACCAGTTACACATGCATATCAACATTTGTTGTACATATCCATGGACTACTGAGTATTTGAATATTTTTTTATACAAGTTGGTTATGCTGTGGTTGAATAAGCTTATTTAAATGCATGCGTGGCTGGAATTGTTTTCTACTCTAAATGATTTTCCTTTTCATGCTGTAGAAGAATTTCCTAACATGTACCACTGTATCAACTTTTTACATTCATTATTGAATTTAACTTTTAGTACACAAATTGAGTAAATGAAAGATGTACATGCTATTAGAATTATTGAGCAGTGTGTATATGCACACTGAATGTGTTTCTTTCATTCAACATTATATCATGATTTGAAAATATTTAAATTGCATTTTAGATAAGTACACAATATTTGTATGTGTACAGGTGCTAAAGCTTTTTCTCTACAGACACGTTTTATGTACCTCTTTTAAGGACAGCTTTATCAGTAAGTTAACCTGGCAATGCTTTATAAACCCAGATTTCTTTTACCTATTCATCTATATAAGGTACATCTCATAAATGTACATAATATATATACATTTCATCATTGCATTGTGAAATAAACATCATTATTTACACATTGAAGTTCTTGCCTCGTCTTACTTCACTCTGTAATACTAGATCTTCGTTTTTGGGAAGATAAGATTACTGGTTTATTTTAGAGAACTTGCACTTTCTATTTTAACACCATAAAGGTAAAAGCTTGAGAATTGAATTTTTATTTGACAGCTGGAGAGGAAAATCAGAAACTGCATGGTACAAATGCACAAGTATTTTTAATTCCTTGATATTTCTCCTTGAAAATCCTTTGTTGCGAATACAAAAACATTATTTTCCGGTGGAGGTATAAACATTTATTTACACACGTCTTGACACAAACTGATGACGGTGAACTGAAATAATTGAAACAAATGAAACAAATGAAAGTAACAGAATAAACAAATATAAATTTCAACTTAATACAAATATCACAATAAAGAAATTACAATAAAACACATATGTAAAATAACTAAATACATACATAACAATGCTGCCTCCACTCATTCGCGTACAGTACTAGGCGTGTTCCAACCATGACAATACATGGTGACGTTTTATTTCCACTCAACAGAACACCAATCATCCAACATATGAGGGCGCCACTCACACCAAGACGAGAAAACACAAAGTAAACATGACAAACAACACAAACAAACGAAACAAAAAATTGCCGACGACACTGTCGGCAACATCCTTCATGATGATGTTACGTAAACTATCTTTGTGTTGGGAAAAATTCACATTGATCTTTTTTTTTAATGTTCAAGTTGCCTGGAATTTGTCATGCTTTTTGAAGTGGTAGGAAGCAATCTTTTTGTCTCTAGTTTTTGAAACATGCATCCATGAAAACTTATTTTTTTCGCTCTTCTTACATTTAAACGTTTCCTTAAATAGCTAAAATGAAAGCCAACAGACATATCTCATTGTACATCAGTCTTTTTCTCATGAATCATTGTTCTAAAAGGAACAAAAGACCAATATTTCCAAGTAATGAATATTCTGGGCCATAGAGAAATGAGCTGTATGCATTTTGCAATCGGTGACGATCTCTATGAGGTTAACACAGGAATGCATCAAGTGACGATGGATGAAGTCCACCCATTGTGTTAGAAGAGATCATGAAAACATCTTGATAGACACCCATACCAATAGATTAGTGATAGAAACGTTTCCCAATACTTCAATGCATCTATATGTACCAAAAGATGCACGTTCCCATAAATCTCAGTAGGGCCTATAAACCCACCAGCTGATAGATCCGTGAACCCTAGTACCAAACCAAAATTTTACATCCTTTACAATTAGTTTAAGCAAAAGGGTAGGCCTAGGCAATGCTCTCCACATTTGATGGTCCATAATTTTTCCTTTGAAGCTTATGGGAAACAGAAACTTAATCTTTAATTTAAAACATTACTTTCATCTAACACATGATTAAAATATTTAAAACAAATGGAACAAAAAGGGTTTATGAACACTTGATAATACTTTGGCTTATGTAAAGATGTTAGTGGCCAGTTATTTAGAGAGTACCTGTCCTTGTGCTAGTAACATTTTTGAATGTCAGCAGGAACAGTAGTACATCATTTAAAATTGGTGTAGATTATGCTATTAAACGTGTCAAAATCGTAATTTCATCATTAAATTAGTTGTTCATAATTTTTACTGTAAAAGTTTTAATGTTACGGTTTCCATCAGTCTTGTCATTTATTTGTACAGCAGAGAACTTTGTCGCCTTGTTAGAATTTGTATTTTAAAGAAGTCCAGCCAAAAATCAAGCAAATTACTTTACATCTTCAGTTTTTCCAAACAAGCTGAGAACATATTTACAAGCCCTTCAGCCTACCATAAGATTTAAATAAACATCATATTTTAACACATGCATAATAAATAGGTTTATTAGATATCTTGGGTATATGTACATATATGAAAGGTCAAAATGTGCCTCATCCACTGGAAAATGCTATCACTGTACACTGGTTTTGAAATAAATTTGTGCTTAAATTCACTCCTACTTTTAGATCTTTTCACAATTAAATAACTTCAACATACGTATTATTATTGGTTTCACTGCTACCAAGTTGTAAAATCATATAAGCATGTTAGTATTGATCTGCTTTTATACTTCTTGGATCTATCAACTGTCTTGATCTTTTGCAAGAATTTTGAAACATGCTACACCTTCCTTTACAAAATTGCACTTGTCTATATTACAACAACGAAATAATAAATGATCAGATGAAGTTAATGGATATTTACAGTTCTTATGAATAAAAATAAAATTACAATTTACCTTATAAGAATCAACTTTTTTCATGCATAAGGTAAAAATTCACTTCCACAACAACAAACTACCCATTCCAATCTAAGTGACATTAATATCTATGACATTAATATCTAACTAAAACCCAAACCAGTTTGAGAAAAAATGACAAATTGATAAATGGTTTCAAAATTCCAACTGAAATACACGACAATGCTCTTTCAGTCTTTTTTTTCACTGAACATTTAGTTTAGTTATTTTAAGGCCTGCTTTGTCTTCATCCATCCAAATCATTAATTAGTCGTATTTCTTTGCCGCCTCCGAGTATGCTGGTGGTGCCCCCTGTGGGGGAGGCATGTAAACATTATGTGGGTTGCCTGGATCATAGTAGGCACCATTGTAAGCACTGGCTGCTGCTTCAGCTGCCTTGGCATCTAAAATTACAAAGAACACATATCAGACTTGAGCTTTCCCCAGCTGAGGATATAGAGGACAGGTTGCTATTATATGCAGGGTATGTGCTGGGCACAAACACAGCTGTTCATAATGTTAAACTAGGATCCACTACACTGGTCAGGACTTTCGTAGAATTCATGTACTTACCTGCAGAGTTGTTTTGCTGGGGAGGATATGGTGGTGGTCTCAGGTTGGGGTCAATACCTGGATATGGGGGTGGTGCCTCTGTCATATAGACACCATCAGCTGAAACACAATACAAACATGTTGAACAGAGTTTACACAAAATGTATCTGTTTAGAAATTGATTCTAATATGTCATTATGAAGTTGAATTACAACATTTTACTACAGTAATACTTACAATTGCACAGTTTATTCTGCATTAATGCTTTTCCATTTTTATCAAGATGTAACTGCTTTGCTGTACTGAAGGCTATATACCTAAGTTAATTTACCCTTAACATTGGAAAAATACCAGCCACATGATAAATATAGATCTAGTATTAAACTGAAATTGAAAAAAAAATTATATTTACCTGGTGGGGCTGTTGGGAATGTCTGATAAGGTACAAATCCATAAAGTGGTTCCCCTGGGGGTGCATACGCAGGGGGTGGTGCCTGGTAAAATGGTCCAGCTGGTGGGAAGTATGGGGGTGGTTGAGGGGGCCTGTTTCTGTTTGCTGCAAAATTTGAACATAACTTTGTTTTTACCACTCTGCTCACAAGACACTGACATGATTGGCTTTCACTTATAATTTTAATGAACAAAATTATTTGTCATTTGTTCTATGTGTGA